ATTATTTATTTAGTTTCTCAACACAAACTTTATCGCTGCTCAGATTCTTTCCCTCAGAGGAGCTGAACTGTTTCCATTAAATCCGAATCTATCTGATCAGCTCTTGGACGTGTCTTCACCTCTGTCACGTCCTCTCTGAGCGTGTCCTCCAGCTGGACACTCAGTGATGGTTTTGTCCTCCAGAGGGCTGAGAGTGCAGTGGCAAAGAGCAAAGTGAACCTGAAGTATTTGTCTTCACAATGCTCAGGTTAGACTATCCTTGATTCAGACCCCTGTGAAACAAACTGTACTCAGACCATCTCCTGAGGTGGTTCGTTTCAGAGCGGTCTGAGTTCTCTGGAGTGTTCAGGTATGCGCGAAAAATGTTGAGTCATTGCGAGGAGTCCGCTTGGAGGACTGAAAGGGACCAAGTGGCATTTATCCACTCAGCCTGTGATTCCAGTTTTAGCCTTACTGAATATGTTTAAACAGAAAAACATTTTGAGTCAAAGACTTAAAGTTTAATGTAATGAGATGTTTCAACTCTAAAGGATCAAAACGACTAATGTGACTAAAACTAGTCAGCATTCTTGTGAGACTAAATCTGAAATAGCTGCTGAATGAACACATGCAGCTGGAACTGTGAGAGAAACTGTAAATCCTCAGCAGGAGCTCTGAACTAAACTCAACACAGGTTGAATGTACAGGTGACGTGTTCCATCCAAAGGTCAGCGGAGAAAAACAGTAAAACGTGTAATTTGGAGTCGTAAAAGCAAAGACCTGTAACTGTGAGGCATTTTAAATGTGAGGAATGTGAGGGTATAAATCAGACGTCTGGAACACAACGTGTCTTTATTATATTTAATACTGGCTCCCTGTCGCTCCGTCCCTCTGTAACCAGCACGGCTCTCCGGGTTTGCTGCCTCAGTCCGGAGCAGCTTTATGTGAAGCTTCAGACGTTTTATTCTCTGCTGGATGTTTCTGGAAGGTTTCCCCCGAGCCGGCTGAATTACTGCGACCTCGCTCTGTTTGTTTTGTCAGAAATCCACGGCAGCCATCTTTGTTTATGTGGAGACCAAACGGGAGTCGAGTTTCCATCTGGTTTGATAATCAGTCCAGTGTGTGTGCCAACACACACACACACACACACACACACACACACACACACACACACACACACAGAGTCAGTAGCTGATCTCCATCTGTTTACATTTTACTGCCGGTGTGATGGAGGCTGCAGGAGCTCCGGACTCTGTGTCTCCAGATGATACATTAGATTTCATTAAAGACGCTGCTGCTGAAAGACACAGTGAGACGGAGACAGAGGGAGACACTGAGACACAGAGACACTGAGACACAGAGACACTGAGACACAGAGACACTGAGACACAGAGACACAGAGACACAGAGACACAGAGACACTGAGACACAGAGACACAGAGACACAGAGACACAGAGACACAGAGACACAGAGACACAGAGACACAGAGACACAGAGACACAGAGACACAGAGACACAGAGACACAGAGACACAGAGACACAGAGACACAGAGACACAGAGACACAGAGACACAGAGACACAGAGACACAGAGACACAGAGACACAGAGACACAGAGACACAGAGACACAGAGACACAGAGACACAGAGACACAGAGACACAGAGACACAGAGACACAGAGACACAGAGACACAGAGACACAGAGACACAGAGACACAGAGACACAGAGACACAGAGACACAGAGACACAGAGACACAGAGACACAGAGACACAGAGACACAGAGACACAGAGACACAGAGACACAGAGACACTGAGACACAGAGACACAGAGACACAGAGACACTGAGACACAGAGACACAGAGACACTGAGACACAGAGACACAGAGACACAGAGACACTGAGACACAGAGACACAGAGACACTGAGACACAGAGACACAGAGACACAGAGACACAGAGACACTGGGACACAGAGACACAGAGACACTGAGACACTGAGACACTGGGACAAGACAAAACAAGGACCCCAAAGACACAAACCCTGCACACAGTCTGTGTGTCTCACTCCTCTGTAGCAGAGGAGGTGGGGCCCTCTGTGTCTCTGAGCTCAGGGGCCCATCGTCTCATAATCTGTCCATGGTTAAATGTCCCCTGATGATGCTGCAGTGACATCACTGCTCCAATCTGACCTGATCCACCAGGTGATCTGGGTTTTAAAGGGAGATTTCATGTTACCCAGAATACACGTGTGATTAATTCAGGGCCTGAATACAACCTGTTTACTTCCTGCTCCTCAGTTTGTGTGCAGAGTGAAGCTGGAAATGTCCCGTACACACCTGAGTCATGTGGCTCGTGGTTTCTGATGGATATTTAAAAGTTTAAATCTAAAACCTGTGACGTCATGAATGTTGTCACGGTACAAACTGCATCAGTGAACCTTCGATGTGCTCGTCAACTTTTTATTCACGTCACATGAAAAACATAAAGTCTTCACACAGTGTGAGATGGTCCTGCAGCCTCGGCTCTGTCAGCTGTTTCTGCTCACTCTCTGAACTCCTCTGAGAGAAGTCCTGATATTTATATGACTGATGTAGACAGAGGAGAGACCTGCGGCTCTGTGACGCTTTATTTTGTAGTGCGTAGGAAGCGGCGGAGGCTCCTGGTGCTCCGGTGTTTTTCCTGGCGGTGGTTGTGGGTCCCCCGTCAGGCGTCTGCTCTGGCTGCAGATTCTTCTTCTCTCTGAGGAAATGAGCTTTATGAGCCCAGACGGCTGAGCCACATTTATTATGGAAATCTCTACAGGAAGTCACGAAGGGCTCGGCTCGGCCTGCACGCTTCATTACAGCCCACATGTGACCAATCCTCCCCAAACCGCTGGTTCCTGCTCAGAAACTCAGCTCTGTGACAGCAGAGCAGTTTTCCCTCAGTAAACACCTTCAGCAGCGCCCAGCTGTTCGACGCTCTGAACAGAATCTGTACTCATGTCAGTCAGTTCAGTTTCCTTTGGTTTAATCGGCAAAAACATTTCAGTCAAATTGTCTTTGTGCACTTTTCATTAAGAATTCAGCTCCAACTGTTTCTATCTTTGTTGTGAGCAGTTACCATGGTTACAGGCATCACAACCATGTGACTCTGCAGTGATACAACTCTCATTAGGAGCTCTCACCTAGCATTAGCATTAGCATTAGCACATCTACCTGTTGATTGTCAGCAGCTGCTCCACTGACACTGTTCACTGAGCTTCTCCTCTCGAGCTGTTTGTTCACTGAACATCTGGAGGAAGACTCAGATGTCTGACTGTCCACATGAACCCTGAACTCACCTCGTTTGTTATTTCATATATTTTGGGGCATTTTCTCTTTTATTTGACAGACGACAGTGTAGAAATGTGGGAGAGGTGTGATGTACGTTGTGGTGATGTGGCGAGTGCTGCTCAGCTACCAACGCTCTCCTCGCTTGTTGGTTCCTTCAGAGAGCACCATTAAAGATGGCCGACCGAAAGTAACAGTTGGTGTTTCTCAAAGTCAAGGATCCTTCCTTGGTTGGACGAGTCCTACCAACAGGCTAACGAGTGTCCCCAGGTGTGTGTCATTAACCCTCAGGTTATCCCTCAGGGGATTTTGGTACAGCTGAGGATCCACACATGCATCCTTAAAATTCTCTGAATGAAGGACTCAGTTCTTGGTAGAATCTGAAGGATCCTCGACACTGGAACAGTCCTTAGGTTGGGTCTGACGACGTAGCATCCTTGAAATTCAGCCATCTAAGGATCTGCCCTTGACTTTGAGAAACACTCAGCGTGTCGCAGTGAACTACTGGTGCACTCTAAGCGGTCCAAAACCTGAGTGTGGAATGACGGACACCTCTCACCCTCAACGTCGCCATCTTTGTGACGTAGCATACTTCTCAACTTCTGATGTGGCGTCTGGAGACAACAAGGAGCCTGTTAGTTCAACGTGTTTTTGCACAAAGTACCAAAACTGTTGTCAAATAGAAGCCGTCAGCCATGATCAATAATGCGAGTGCCAACGTTAGCTTAGCTTGTTTTTGGCAGCTGAAACCATTTCCCTCATAATAAACAATAAAATGTGAAGACAATAAAACCTCCACATAAAAGCATTTTAAGTGATTTATCCTGGCTTCATACGAGCAGAGGAAATCTCCACCAGTCGCTAGGCTAATTTATACAATGTAAAATGCCATAGGCTTGTGCTAATAATGTTAGCATGTCTCTAGTAACCCATGTTTAATGTGTGTTTAATGTGTGTTTTGCAGTGACACAGACACGCCACCATACAAGTACAAATCCTCACAATGGCGTGGGGCCACGTGCGTAGACGATGGCGTAGAGCTGACACAGTATAAATCCGCCTTCACTGTGACCAGACACCGACTGTATCTGCTGTCGATGAACTGAGATCATAAATCATCAGATAACTTCAGACACAAAGTCGCTGACACTGAGAAGCTTCTGATTAACGAGCCGCAGGTCAAACAGATAAATCAAAGTCTCTATTGGCCACTGGATGAAACTGTTGGACCAATCAGGAGCTCCAGATTCTGCTGATGCGAGCAGATCTGTGAGGTCGCCCTGTTCTCTGTAAATAAAACCAAACTGTTAAACAGATGATGATAACACACGATGCTGATCACCGTGCAGCGCTCCATCAGACTCTGAACGCCGTCTCCCTGTGGACGATGAAATAACGTTTACTGTCATGTAAAGCAGATTATTGTGGGAAGCTCTTTGTTTATGGCCTCGTGGAAACAGACTCACAGCGTGAGACCTGATTGTGCTCATAACTTTATTGGCATCATTATACACAGACAGGAATTTATGTGTCTCCTGAAATATTACAGACAGGTTACGAGCTCCTGAGGTGGAAACTGAGAGCTTTATAGATGTGTTTTTTTACCTGAGGCTGAAATCTGCAGAATGCGTCGCTGTGAGGACACGTCAGAGAGGAAGGAGGCAGGAAGTGGATCCTCATGTGTCCTTGTGTTGTTTCCTGCTGCAGGGTCATCACCTACGAGTGCTGTCCTGGTTATGAGAAGATTCCTGGAGAGAAGGGCTGTCCTGCAGGTATGACCTCTGACCTCTGACCCCTGACACTCAGCACAACGTCCATAACTCAGAACACTGAGGATGTCTTTGTTATTTCAGGAAGAATAAAGTTACATTAATGTGTTAATATAATGAATGAACGCAGGGTAACTGATTCATAAACATGACAGAGACATGACTGCATGTCTTCAGCTGTAGAGACACAGTGATTTTAAATTTTGATGAGAATGTTAATGACAAAATGTGTTACTGATGAATGAATGAACTGATTTCTCCATAAAAAAATACTTTTTTAAAATTCATATTAAAATCAGGTAGAAGAGGAAATGTATAAACTTAACTTATTAAACCTGCTGTGAATAAAACAACTTAATATAAATAACTTTAAAAAAACAACTTACAAATGTTATTTATAAAAAATAACAAATAAAAAATAAAAACTCTGCTTTTAAAAATGTAATTTAAATTAAAAAAATATAATTTTCTCTTTTAAAAACCTAATTTATAAAAAAGTAACATATAAAAATGTTAAAAAAAAATAAAAAAATTCCTTTTAATACACAATTCATATGTAAAAAATAAAAACTTTACTTTTAAAACTTGATTTATAAAAAAATGAAACTTTTAAAAAATTAACTTACAAAAGAATTAGCTGTTAAAAATGTAACTTTTGTGAAAACTAACGTTTAAACTCTCTGTGCTGCTGTGGCTGAACCTTCGTCCCTGAACACAGACACAGATGCATTGTGGGTGTTCTGCTGTGACTGTTTGTTGTTGTTGAGACAAACAGGAGGATCACTCTGGTTTATTTTCATGTGCTGAGAGTTTGTTGATCATGAGTGTGTGTGTGTGTGTGTGTGTGTGTGTGTGTGTGTTTGCAGCGCTGCCTCTGGTGAACATCTACAACACTCTGGGCGTCGTCGGAGCCTCGACCACTCAGATGTACTCTGAACGAGCTCAGCTGAAGGACGAGATCGAAGGGCCGGGAAGCTTCACTTTCTTTGCCCCGAGCAATGTGGCCTGGGCCGCCCTGCCGACAGTCAGTACAAACACACACACACACACACACACACACACACACACGCTCACACACCGTCCTGCTGCCACAAAGACTCACCAAATACGGGCTGTGCACATGTGACAGACGCTTAGATTTTAGGAGGTGGTCCTCGCTCCACTGAGAAGACGACCCGGTGATATAATGATAACGGTGTCTCCCCGTGTCTGTCCTCAGTGTGTTGTTGTCTTCATCACACTGAATCTTTGTTGTTGTTGTTGTTGTTGTGCCGCAGGAGATCCTGGACGCTCTGGTGAGCAACGTGAACATCGAGCTGCTAAACGCTCTTCATTACCACATGGTGAACCGCCGGCTGACCTCCAACGAGCTCAGACACGGATCCTCCTTCACCTCCATGTACCAGGACTTCCCCGTCCACATCCACCACTACAGCAACGGGGTCAGTGATACACAACACACACACACTGTATACACACTGTAACACACACTGTAACACACTGACATGATAACTGACATGTTAGGACACGTTAATCAGAGTCTACACTGATCCAAAAATCCAGTAAAGCTCCAGTTACACTGCAGCAGTAACAGTCATCTTCTTCTCCTCTTCAGATTGTGACGGTGAACTGCGCCCGTCTGATCAAACCCGACCAACACGCCACCAACGGCATCGTGCACGTAGTCGACCGCGTCATCACCGCCGTCTCCAACAACGTGCAGACTGTCCTCGACATCGACGATGACCTGGAGACGCTGCGTGTGAGTACCTCTGTCAATAATCCAGAAGCTTCAGGAGATCAGCATTGTTTTATTCACCGAGTTACTTCCTGTATCAGACGGCGATGGCGGCTGCAGGTCTGACCACTGTGTTGGAGAGCGATGGTCAGTACACGCTCTTTGCTCCCACCAACGAGGCCTTCGAGAAGATTCCTCAGGAGACCCTGAACAGGATCCTGGGAGACCCCGTGGCTCTGAAAGGTGACCAGCAGGAGGCGCTCTGATGCTGATTACTGTCTGTGAACAGCATGAACCTGATTGTCTTGTACCTGCCCCCCCCCCCCACCCCCCCCAGACCTGCTGAACTACCACATCCTGAAGCACATGCAGTGCGCCGAGTCCATCGTGTCGGGGACGCCAATGGAGACTCTGCAGGGCACCGTGCTGGAGGTCGGCTGTGACGGAGACGAGATGACCCTGAATGGGAAGGCCATCATCACCAAGAAAGACCAGCTGGGAACCAACGGAGTCGTCCATTACATCAACGAGCTGCTCATCCCCGACTCAGGTACTGATACAGCCAACACTACCAAAACTGGAGGTCGGCCGTGACGGACAGCCTGTCATGCTCTTGTGAGCATTTATACTTGTGTGGTGGTGTGTCTGTGTCACTCTGCAGTTACACCTCCAAAACACTAGCTGGCGGCAGAGTTTGTCTGTGCTGTAAAGTTTAGTTGATTCAAAACACACATTAAACACAGATTAAACACACATTAAACACAGATTAAACACAGATTAAACACAGATTAAACACACATTAAACACAGATTAAACACACATTAAACACAGATTAAACACAGATTAAACACAGATTAAACACACATTAAACACAGATTAAACACACATTAAACACAGATTAAACACAGATTAAACACACATTAAACACAGATTAAACACACATTAAACACAGATTAAACGCAGATTAAACGCACATTAAACACACATTAAACATGTCTTAATAGAGACAGTGTCAAACACAAATCAGCTTCACTATAACTCGCAGCATTCACAGACAAACACTTGTCTTCATCTGGACACATTTTCCCCACAAATACAACATGCTAACGTTATTAGCACAAGCCTATGGCATTTTACATTGTATAAATTAGCCTAGCAGCTAGCAGAGATTTGCTCTGCTCATATTTCAGCCAGGATAAATCACACACAGTGTGTGGAGGCTTTATTGTCTTCACAATTTATTGTTTCTTATCTGTGAAATTAAAGTAAATCAAAGCTTTGTTTCCACTGAGGGAAATGGTTTCAGCTCACAGAGACAGACAGGAGGTCTGTGTCACTGTGACACTGTGGAGTTACATTTCTGAGGAGGTGCACGTCAGGCTACAGCAGGATTTATACTTCTGCATGGAATTGACACCGTACCTACAGCATAGGCTGACGTGGACCTAATACTGCATCTAATACTGAGAGTGCTGAGAGTGTTTCCAGTGGCTCAGTGGGTGGAGCAGGCGTCCCATGTGTAAGGGCAGTGTCCTCGCTGCAGCAGCCGCTTCTCAAATAAAGACAAAAGCCAAAAAAATCATCTTTAGAAAAGAAAAGAAAAGAAAAGAAAAGAGAAGAAGGACAAAATAACAGACCCACTGTCAGCAGCAGTGTTAGCAATGTTAGCAATGTTAGCAGTGTTAGCAATGTTAGCAATGTTAGCAGAGTTAGCAGTGTTAGCAGTACCATCAGTAATATTGTCATGTTGGTTTTTAACCTTGTGTCTTTATTTCAGCCAAAGTTCTGCTGGAGCTGGCTGAGGGTTCGTCTGTTGACATGGCAACCAAGCTGTTTGTGGAGGCGGGGCTTTCTCCTCACCTGACGGGCTCGGAGGCTCTGACCATGCTGGCTCCTCTGGACGAAGCCTTCAAAGGTAACGCCGCTCAGGTCCCGACCGCCGTGTTGTTTATCCTCAAACAGGAAGCTCTGTGTTGACCTCAGGGTGATGTCATAAATAACTCATCTGATTCATTTAAAATGTATTCTACATCGATAAATGTGGTGTGAAGTATTCACCTGTCTGTGTCTCTTAACAGGACGTGACACGACGATGACGCCTGAGATGACGAAGCTGATGACCAATCACCTTCTGAAGGAGCAGCTGTCCTCTAAGTCTCTGTATCACGGTCAGGAGCTGGAGACGATGGGAGGCCTCAAACTGCGAGTGTTCGTCTACAGAAATGTAAGAACTTTAACATGCGTCCTTCCGCGAGAGAAAATAGTTCCTACATCAAACTTTCACAACAGTGAGGTCTGTGGATTATCTTCAGTGACGGGTCATGATTTCTGTAGAGACTGATGTTGAGTTTTTCAAATTAATTTTCTGAAAGGCAGACGGCCGATATCTCCAACACTGTCTAGACTGATGAGCAGCACCACAGGTGAGAGGATGAATATGTAAGTTTGGTTTTGGGTGAACTGTCCCTTTAAAGGCTCAGCTGATCAGCTGTGGATTCACAGAGCAGATCAGATATTTAGTCTGGCTGTGTCGCCTGTTGCTGGGCGGATTGGACGGATTGTTTGTCTCCATTGGCCACAAATATTGTCTCTCAGCTTCCAGTGATGATTTCATGAGGTCACTGAGTTTCTGGCTGCGTGTCATTAATAACTTTAACAAACCCAGTTCCTCTGTTTGTGTGACATCAGCGAAGTGACTCAGCTCCGTGAGGTTTTCATATTTTCACTTAATGATGCGTCTGAGAGGAAACATCAAACTTTATTTTAATTTTAAAATCATTTTTCAAACGAAGGACGAGTGCAGGAAATGTGGTGAGGTCCTGTCCCACGCTGCAGCCTCATTACTGCGCCCACATGTGGCGATGATGTCATCCAAACTATCCTGTGGTGATGTGAATCAGAGCGGCCTGCAGAGACACAACCCGAACAAATAAAGGTCCTGCAGCACGGAACCATCAACCGGTGTTCGGTCGGGCAACTGATGTTGCTCTGCTGGTTTCCAGTTGCACATTAATGTTGCCACGCCTGTTTCTGGTTGTACAGTTGATGCTGCTCCACTGACGGTGGAGAAGGTTGACGTTGCTCCACAAATTTCCGGTTGCACAATTGATGTTGCTCCACTGTTTTCTAGTTGCACAGTTGATGATGTCCCACTGGTTTCTAGTTGCACAGTTGATGTTGCTCCAATGGTTTCTAGTTGCACAGTTGATGATGTCCCACTGGTTTCTAGTTGCACAGTTGATGTTGCTCCACTGGTTTCTAGTTGCACCGTGGATGTTGCTCCACTGGTTTCCTGTTGTACAGTTGATGATGTTCCACTGGTTTCCAGTTGTTCAGGTGACCCTGTTTTGCTGGTTTCAGCCGTCAGTCTGATTTTTCTTGGTCATTTAGAAACTAAATTGTTTCCTCTCTTGGCGTCTCAGATGCGTCACTGTTCTGATTTCCTGATCAATAAGAGGTTGAACAAACTGGGAGTGATTTCTGAGAGCGCCCTCTGCTGGACCTAAAGCTCATCTTAGTTACTGATCGTTGATTGGTCGGAGCCTTTGATAGCTTCCTGTCTCACAGCGATCGCTGTCGTCTCCAGTCGATCTCTCCAGTTCAGTAAATGATGTCAAACAACTGCGGCTCCTCCTGTCGCCCAGGAAACACAACACACATGTGAGCATGTGTACTGAGGGTGTTATTGATGGTGCAGTGATCAGTGTGTGGTGTGAGGTTGTCTCTGGTGGGCTCCACAGTGGCTCCACATGTTTCAGGTCCTGGACCCGTGGGTGGCTCACATTTCTGCTCAGTAATGAACTCTGCAGACCACAAGAAGTTTCCTGCTTCCCACGACTGCTAAATCATTCCAGACACCAGCCGAGTGTGTGTGTGTGTGTGTGTGTGTGTGTGTGTGTGTGTGCGAGCTTTGAGAAAATGGCTGCTGACCTGACGTGAGTCCACAGACTGTGTGAAGTGTTTCAGACCATCATCAGCACACACTGAGTATTAATATCAATAAATATGATGTATCTGATGACATCACAGCGTTTTCCACTGAGGGTGAAGAGACGTGTAGCGGAGGAACAAACATGTTTGACACCATATTAGTGATTTTACACACAGTAGAAACATTGTGGACACATCGTTCTGTAAATTAGGGACAAAATTTCGTCCGTCCACCTCGTAGAAATGACGTCACATCTTCAGTCACCAGAGACTTGTGTCCACCTGCGTCCTATCACGTCTTCTTCTTCACTCCTCTGTGTTTGTAGAACCTGTGCATTGAGAACGCCTGCATCGCTGCTCACGATAAGACAGGACGCTACGCCACCATGTTCACCATGGACAAAGTCCTCACTCCACCCATGGGGACCGTCATGGACGTCCTGAAGGCAGACGACCGCTTCAGGTGAGGCTCTATAGCGCACATCACAACACGCTCTCATTGTTGAATATGTCGGCTCAGTCGGTGAACTTTCACGTCCAAATATGACACGCTACATATCCTCCTGTATCTGTTTTTGGTGTGCAGGGATGCCGTGTTAATTTACGTGTGTCTTTTCAAAATAAACTTCTGTTTTCACAGGAAATGTTTCAGGTCGTTAGATGCAGACAGTCTTTTTTAAAATAAACTTATAACGTTGGTAAAACTCCTCGTATTGATATCCATATGCAACAAAAGCAGATGGTTAGATGTAGAAAACAACATCATGGTTTGGCTCAACATTCACACAGGAAGTGAACACCGGGCTGCAGGGTGAAAGTCCAGGGTGTGTTGGAATCATCCACTTCCCATATTATGTTGTTACTGCCAACGTTTCAAACTGACGCCATCCGGCTGTGATATAACACATCTTTCACAGTGGTATAAAACTCCTGAGAAATAATAAGAGAAATGTTGTATGAAATGATTCTGTGCGTCCCGTTCCTCTGTCTCGTCTCAGCTGTGTCCCGCCGCCACATTTTCTTCCCTGATTCTTGGTCAAACATCTCTAAAGATGGATACAAAAAAAATGCAGAAAATTTAACCTGTTCCAAAAGTTTTCCTGATGGACGAAGTTTTCAGACTCAGTGTGAAACTGTGACTCAACGTGAAGTCGCATTCATTTTTAGACATGCAACAATTTTGGACGAAAAAAAACGGACTCAGTGTGTGAAGGCTTTTATTCTGTGAACCTGCGGTTACGTTACCTGACCAACGTTGTCACCACACGCGGCACGAGGGTTGGTTATTGTTTGAATCTCATTGATTCTGAATCTAATTCTGATTCTGCTAATTGATTGTGGTTCAATTGATTTGAATTTTGATTCCAATATGGTAAAAAAGAATTCAAATGTAGGGATGTTTATCTATAAGACTTTATTGATACAGATTCTTGATTCTGCTGCTCAGTCCAATTCTTTATCAACTCCCTTGTTGATTCTGAACACACAGTCTACGTTGTATAAACAGAGTGGAAAAAACGACTTTTGTTTCTTCCTCTCCTACATGACTCCTTCTTGTTGTAAGTTTTTAGCAGTGAAAACATTTCAGGTTTTTGTTTTGCAATGTGCAATTTTTAGAAAAACATGCCAGCATTTAAAAAAGGAATTGATAAGCTTGGAGGCGTACGATTCTGAAACCAATGTGCTATCAATTCTCAACTGGAAAGGGTTCTCGATTCCCGTCTCTAGACGGCACCCACTGGTCCCTTAAGGAGGTCCTGCCTTTAATCAGTCATAACTTTAAGCCTTGATGAAATGTAAACAGGTGAGTTCTATGAAAATTCAGCCCCTGTACATTTGTCATGAATGTTTAAGTTAGCTATAGAGACCAAACAGGTTGTAAACATGTTTATTTCTACATGTTAGCATGGAGGTCTGTGGGGACGGACTTGTTCTTGGAGCCAGCCTCTAGTGGACATTAGATGAACTGCAGGTTTTGGCCCTGGAGGTTTCTGCTTGTAGAAAATGAACCACTGACAGATAATGTTCCTCCTCACCTCTGGTAACCAGCGGTAACCAGCCGTAAACAACAGTGAAGAGCAGTAAACAGATATTTGCCAGCAGCTCTGCGGGGATCGTCTCCTCTGAACTAAAGACAGAAACCCCCAAATGAGTCACAGCTTTGTGTTCAGCTTCTTCCAGGAACTTTTAGATTTAATGACAAGCAATTAGAATAAAATCAGCTCAGTAACACATAATAAAGCTCCCAGCTGTAATTTTATCCTCTAATCTACCGATTACGAGTCAAATTAAACAAGAAAGAGTCTTCTGAAGGAAATAAATAAATAAATAGGGCCGTGTTCTCTAAATAGAAGTGATGTCATGTTGCAGTAAATGTGTTGAGCGAGACTCTGCCTCTCCGTCTAACAGAGTTGTGAGAAACAAACGAACCTCCTTCCTGTTTCAGCCTCCTGGTCGGAGCCATCCAGACCGCGGGGATGACGGAGCTGCTGAACCAGCAGGGGGCGCTCACCTTCTTCGCTCCCACCAACGACGCCTTCAATGCTGTGCCTCAGCAGGAACTCAACAAGCTGATGCGTGAGTTTAAAACTGCACAACATTTATTACAGTTTAGTTTGTTACATCAGAGACCATTAATGACATCATTAACCTCACAGAGATGCAGTCGACCTGTACATCATACTCTAAATGATACGTGTGATTCGTCATTTCCATTTCCTGTTCATGGTCTTTGTAAGCAGCTGTGCAATGAGACAGGACATCTGCTCTTTATTTGCATAAGATGCATCCAGGCCTCTTTATGCACACCAGGGGTGACAGCGTGCAGCGTGCAGCATGACCTGCCGCCTGAAACTCAGACTGTTGTTGATCCAAAGTGAGGACAGATTCAGCAGCTGCTTGACTCATTTCTCACCTTAGGTATTTTCAGAAACACATTTTAATAAACTGTTTCCATAATATAACAGAAAGCTTTCAAACAAGCTGCCATGTTGGTCCAGTTTGAAATCGAGGAGACTGGCTGCCAGACTGCACGCCCAGCAAGCTTCAGATGCTGCTAAGTTGGTGCAACCCCTCGCATTCAAAAACTCCCATTGACGACCTATTCCATGAAAAAAAAGGGAAAAAACGGTGGAGAAAATGGTGTTTATTCAGCCAAATGCTCAGCCTCACAGGCAGTTTGTCCTGGTGGTCACTCACAGTATTACAGTGAACTCATTTTCCTTACAGACCTCCATTATAAAGACACGTCTGTCAAACTGTGGACACCTCAGACTGTGAACGAGATCAGTTATGACTCTTTATATTCTGAAGTTTTGATCCATGGAGGTTTTATATTTGTAAAACTCTCATTAAGCCGAGAAAAGTGATTTAAAAATCTGTGACGTCTTCACAATGTAAAGTCTATGAGCCTCCACTGGAGTCAACAGGCGCCATCTTGGCGTTGTGTATCCAGATTTTATTCTGAATGTATGAGGTCATGTTTGTTGTTTACATCAATGCAAATCAAGTTCTGTCCCAGTGTCAGTTCTCTGGTGTGGAACCCTCCAGTTACAGGTGTCGCACAGACGCAGGTGTGTGGACGATGCAGCTGGTTGTTTATGTGAACGTGTGGTTAAAAAGGAAGTCTGTCTCCAGCCTGAAAAAATAAAAGTGTTTCTGTTCAATCGTTCTAAAACCGTCCTCAGTGTGGACTGTGGGCGTCTGTACTTGTCCACCTCTGGTCTCCTGCTGGAGGTAAATCAGCTGTTGTCCAACCTGAGACGTGAGCGGAGAGTTTCAGCTCCTTCTTTGGTCCAGAACATTTTGTTTATGTGACTCAGAGCAGAAATATCAGCTTCATATAAACTGTGTGAGCAGCCTCACCGGCGGCCTAATAAAGACATGAAGCCACTGTCACAGGACGGAGCAGCTGTGGATAAACTTTATCAACAACAACATGTGAAGAAGGTCAAAAGTTTCTCTCCAACATGACGGATCACGTTCCAGCCTGTCAGTGCACCAAAATAAAAGCTTTAGTCAGTCTAATTAAATAAACATCAATCACTGATGAACAAAACTCAACAGCTCCTCTTTTTAAAAGCAGATTTATTCTACATATTCTTAATAATATATATATTTTTTTTATAATTTTGGTTTTCTCTTTTATTTACTGGTGCAGTTTTTTTGTTTTTTTGTTCTTATTCTTATTGTTAATAAAACTGATTCTGATTCATGTTGAAATTCAACTACAACTAAATTTTCAGCAATGGAACGTGAGATGGATCGGTGGTTTGGCGCAGTGTCTGCAGTGATGCGGGCGCTGCCCCAGACCGTCGTGGTTCAGAGGGAGCTGAGCCAGAAGGCGAGGCTTTCTATTTCCTGGTCCATCTGCGTCCCAACCCTCACCTTACTTTAGTTGTGAAAAGTAACGAGTCAAATTCAGGTCAATCAGACGTCAGAATTCAGGATGACAAACCAAAACAAGATTGTATCTACAGACCGCTGAGAGGTAACTCAACGTACCCTCATAGAACGGTTTGTATGATATCCTGTGCATTAGTGCCCCACAAATGACATTATGTTCTTAACATACCGAGGTTAGGTTTAGGAACAGAAACATGGTGAGGACGAACCTTAAAATGACTCAAAGTTCACACAGATCTGAAAATGCAACTCCAGGGAAAAGTCTTGTGTTTGGTGACCCATCCACGACCCAGAGGTACCTCGGTACAAGTGCTCAGGACTGCTTCCATCTTTACTGCTGTCAGCGTGTTGGTCACATGATCGCAGTGGGACATGTATGAATTTGGGTGCATTACTTTTTGTAGGAAAACCTATGAACAGTTTGTGACAACAGCCGGAGTAACTACTGATCTCAAGTCAGTGATTCTGTTTTACATGTCTGTCTGTCTGTCTCCCAGGTAACCGTCAGGAGCTGTCAGATGTGCTCAGGAATCACCTGGGGGAGGGCCTGCTGGTCAGCGGAGGCGTTGGATCTCACACCAGAGTCAAACCTCTGCAGGGAAAGAAGCTGGAGCTGGGCGTGGTCAGTCATCAGAAACATTTACTGATCAATAACAGTTATTGATGACTGGTTTATATATCGCAGCTGCTAACAGCTGATCCTCTGTGTGTGTGTGTGTGTGTGTGTGTGTGTGTGTGTTTCAGCATAACTACACAGTGTACGTCAACAGGGTGCCGGTGGCAGACGCAGACCTGATGGCGACTAACGGAGTCGTTCACGCCGTCAACAGCATCATCAGACCTCTGCGTGAGTTCTGCTTCAGTACTTCCTGTAGATGTGGCGACGGTGACTGAGCGCTGTGTGAAGTGTTCACGATGATCAGCTGAGTCTGTGCACAGCTTCAGTTTAGTTCAGCACAACATCACTGCTCTGTTTGACTGTCACTGCTCTCTGCCATCAGACTCCACCTGCTCAGCACAGGTGGACACGATATTACAGTACTGTTCATTTACAGAAAATTTACTTGAGTAAAAGTACTCATCAGTCAAACAGTCAAACCCAATTTATATAATTCAAAGACTGTTCAGGGACCTCAGTCTGCATAAATATTTAAATATACTATTTTAAAAAATGAATATGTTCTTGTTCCCCTCGCCAAAACTGAGTGTAACTTTGGAGCGTTATTTGACCCCTTTATGACAAGATAGTATAACATGGTTGGTACCAGTGGATGTAAACCTAAAGACTCCTGATGAATAATCATGCTGTCTGTCTGTCTGTCTGTCTGTCTGTCTGTGCAGCTGCGAAGGTGGACAGAGAACAGGCTGATGGACCTGCAGCTCCGCTCAGATCAGCTGCTTCCTTCAGGGTGAGAAAAAAACAGAGATCATTACAAACCAGCAGCTTTAATATTCTGTTCAGTGAGCAAGAAGATAGACATGAGGTTTATCACACACTCAGAGGAGGAGCAGAGTATTTATTATTAATATTATTATTTCACTTGTATTAACTGTGTAGTTTACAGTGTTTTACTGTCGTCTCCATCAGCTGTCAGTCACGTTTCAGTGTTTAAACATGAAAATACATTTTACTGTAAAGACTAGAAAATGATTTGCTTCATTCAGAGTTGCTCCATGATTTAATTTTGAAGTTTATTTGTAATGAGAGCTTCATGTTTCATTGTTCATCAGTAAAATAACCTCTGACCTTCTCTCTGTGTCACAGGCCGACTCCAAGAGCTTCAGGAACGGTGTGTTTTTCACCTCTGACTTGATGCTTCCTGTCTCTGACTTGATGTTTCCTGTCTCTGACTTGATGTTTCCTGTCTCTAACTTGATGTTTCCCGTCTCTAACTTGATGTTTCCTGTCTCTAACTTGATGTTTCCCGTCTCTAACTTGATGTTTCCCGTCTCTGACTTGATGTTTCCTGTCTCTGACTTGATGTTTCCTGTCTCT